TCGCTCGGAAAGCATTGACTTTGTTGCTGTCAGTTTGTGTACCTGGACTCTACCTTGTCCTGGTCGCTCTTGACAGCATGGAGTATGTTAGAACCTTTCGGAAGAAGGAGGACATGAGGGGTCGCCTCTTCTGGGTGGCACTTGACCTTCTGGATGTCCTGGACATTCAGGCTAATCTTTGGGAGCCACAGCGGACAGGTCTGCCCATCTGGGCTGAAGGTCTGATGTTCTTCTACTGCTACATTCTGTTGTTGATCCTGCCTTGTGTTTCTCTAAGTGAGATCAGCGTGCAGGGCGAACATGTGTCGCCTCAGAAGATGATGCTGTATCCAGTTCTCAGCTTGGTGACCATCAATATCGTCACCATCCTCATTCGAGGGGTCAACATGGTGCTGTTCCAGGACAGCCGAGTCTCGACCATCTTCATAGGAAAGAACGTTGTTGCTATCGCCACTAAGGCCTGCACCTTCCTGGAGTACCGAAGACAAGTTAAGGAGTTTCCCCCACAGGATCCTGCAGGGATTGCAATGGAGATACAGCAGAACTCTGTGCCACACAATCAAACTCTACCAAACGCCACAACCACTCTCCCAGAAGAGCCCTCACCAGCCCGTGAGGTCATTGACACGTGACCAGAGCTGACCAAATTGGCAGGACTTTGTAGAATAAAACATTCGTGAGTTCAGACCAGATGAAGTAGACTTATTTTGGTCCCTTTGCTATTGAGCAAAGAGTTCTGCTCTAAGATTACTTCTTTGAAGGATGTTTTTAAAGCCCTGCTCATCTAGGCTGAGGCCATTGATGCTCACATGCACAAATGGCAGCTCACAAGATCTTGCTTTTAACCGGATTTTGTAATTTCAAGCTGTTTTGTGATGTTAGATATGGGGTGTTTTTAAAGAGATTTGTGTGATCGTGACTCACCTTGCTCCCCCACATGGAATCTGCTTAGATTTCTCCAGAATCTCATCATTTTCAAAGATCTTCAAAGCTCTTTGTGTGTTATTTTATAACATATTTTGGCTAGTCTTAATATGCTTTCAGATGTCATTGAGAGGCCAGAACTCTCAACTCAATGATTAAACCCATTTTATACAATTCTGCAGATCTTCCCACATAAAATCAGTGCTTAAAATGTAAGGAAATTCCCATCTGGGTTTGCAGATGAGTAAAGAAAAACCAAGAATACCAAGTTCAGAAATACATCCACTCCTCCTACAGATTTAAGGCAAGAAGTGAACTTTAAGTGAACTTAAATATGTGTTTTGAAGATTTTTGTGATTTTAAGATGAAAATGATCCTTTGCGTGTTAAGTTGTGAACATGTTTTTAGCAAAACAACTCTCACAGGATTTATTTTCCAGAAATAACTCTCACATGATTGTTTTTTTTTCATTTGGGAACAGAACACTTTTTAACTAGCCAAATTTTTATTTCAAGTTTTGTATGTGTAGAAAAGAGGACAAAAGAGAGTTCATTAAAAGCAGATTATACTTGATGATAACAATTAATATACAATACAGTCATGTTTTTAAAGAGGACAAATGTATTATTATTATTATTATTATTATTATTATTATTATTATTATTATTAATCTAGTTTCTTTTTTCTTTTAAATGTGACATTTTGAATGTTGCAAAGTGTAATAAAACCTCAATAATCTCAAAAAACTGTGGTTTGTTTGAAATTGAGCTGCTGAAATATGCATTACACTTCAGCATTTGCTTTGGTTTTCAAGGCCACTTAACTGATAACCATAAACACAGCGTTCACTCCCACAGCCAGCCAACACTCGTGTCAGAACCACTGAGAAACAGCAGGACTGGTTGATTCTGCATGAGCTCTGAAACGCAGTTCCACTTGGTGAGAATGGGGTGCAGAAAGCAATTTGGCTACTGCTGATTGGCTCTGGCTGCCATGTAGGCCAGCTGTACGGAGTGATAAATTACAGTTCCTGTGATCCTCAGCCCTCTCATCCATCTCAGCGTTATAGAGTTTCTATAGGCTTCCTCACCAAGAGGCCTGAACAGCAGGAAGATTTCCTACACCGCAGTTCTCAGTCCTAACAGAGATGCCATTTCTAGGGAGCTGTAAATTGTTGGCAGCTGACACCTAGACACTTTTGACACTTGGAGATAAATGTTGAACTCTGCCAGTCACTTCAGCGGAAATATATTATCCCCAACAAACAGCCTATACATCACTTCTTGGATGCTGAATAGTAGCCCCTTGGGATTCACGAGAAGAGTTTTAACAACACCTCCTAGCGCTGCCTGCAGTACTTGACCTTTGTAAGGCCATTTAAAAAAAAAAAGGAATATAAACATTGTGGAATTCCAACAAATGCACCTGAAGCAGCGATTCAGCTGTCGCAGTCTCTGGCGTCAGAGATTTCCTCATACTTCAAGCCTCTCCAATCAGTTGATTAATCGCCTGCTAGCTCGAGGCTAATGAGGTCATGAGGGTGTATTTAACCATGGCCCTATTTAATTTTCTGCTGTCAGAACATTAAAAATTCCATTTTAAGCACATCATAATTCGGCTTGGCGATAAATTACTAATATCATCATGGGAGGCCCTATCTCCGCTGACACATAGCTCAATTTACCAGCTTGCTTCACTTCATGGTACCTTTACAGAGTATCAAAAATCTATTCATCTTGGAAATGTTTTGTCGTATCAAGCATGTAGGCAACTTGTTACTTAAAGTTTTATTTTTGTCACATGTAATCTCTCTCTATACAGGCACTAAAGCAATCACTAATGAAGTTGGCAAGAACATGATTTGTGAGATTAATTCAAAACTTGGTCTTACTGGAAAATTTACATTTAAAGGTGCAGTAGCTGATTGTCTTTAGAAACGTTCTTTGAAAGTTTTTTCACAGTCCAATTGTAATGATTAAATTAAATGATCTAAATGTATTTATGTATATGTATTTTTATATTGTGGGTAAGGCATAAGACTAAAAAATGTTCATCCAAATAATTAATTAATTATTCCCATAATTCTGATGAGTAGCCCAAAGTGTCTGTCAGCAAATATAGATTTAAACAACTGCACACCTGTTTACGCAGATATGTAGACATGAGTGACAGTGCTAAAAACAAATGCTCAATCAAAACATTTTAAAATCCTAAACTATTTTTGGAGTTACATTTGGACACTGGAGGAAGGATGACACTATGGCTGAAGTGTTTCTTTTAGATAGGTGACGTTATGATTTAAAACTATTTTATTCACACAAAGCTTATACAGATTGTGTTGTTATGAATTGTGTTGTTACATTCAGGATTTAAAATCGTACATTTTTGTATGACTAATCCTGTATGAATTCGTATGAATTTGCCACTAAACTGACAAAACGTAAAACACTTAAGTTTCCTCATGAGATCAGGCTGAAATATCATGTTATTATGGCTTAAGCATGTGAGAGAGTGAGACTGATGAGTGATACTGATGACAGAGTGTTTTCTGCTTGCTAACTACACAACTGAAAACGTGCTACATATAATACAGTTTTTCGTTGTAAATTGTAGTATTATAAAGTACTTTAAAGTTTTCTAACTGGCGAATGACATGATCTTTTGGGTCTCTGTCATCTTTAATGTGCACATTCGTGATTTTAACACCTGTGGTTTTGTCAATTGTAGTTTATTTTAGCCAAGCTGTCTGTGTTTAGACATCTAGATTTCTTCATTAGAACACAATCTCAATTCTAGCTGGGAATGGTTTATTTACCAAAATATTTTGTCAAGTAATCCTTTGATGACAAATTAAAGACCCTCACAATGCAGCTCGAAAACATTAATTAATTGTCATTTAAAATTGTTATACTTTTCTACAGTGCTTTATACCAAAGATCTACCCATTTGCCACATAAAAAATGTTAATTATTTGCAGTGGTGTAAAGTAACAAATTACAAATACTCAAACTACAGCTAATTAAGTATTTTTTCTTAGAAAATTTTCTGAAGTTTTAAAAATGTATACTTTTACTTTCCCTTGAGTACATTTTTAGTGCAGTATTGATACTCTTACTACACAACTTTCGCTCAACCTGCAGTCACTACTTTATTTTTCTTGTCTATGGGGATTAGAAAAATCAGTCCTGTGTTTCTCTTCAAATCAAATCGCACATAGATGGTAAATCGCATTATAATGAAATACCTCAAGACATGGGTGATTTATAATTGCAGCAAACTGTTTGGAGCATTAAAAGTGTCTAAGAGGATATCTAAAAAATCTTTACATGCAATGACCCAAGGACTGTTTAGATGCATGTCACTGATGAGAAGATGATGAATGTTTACTGTATGATGACCAAAATAGCTTTAAACACCCAGCAGGCGCAAGGCGTCAACATGATGTCAGATTGACGCTGTACCCCAAACATTTCATTTTGTTTGGAAATTAAAACCGTGTTGACATCAGAGCCCAATGTCAAGTCAACGTCCAACTTCCAACCTAAAATCAACCAAATATTGCTTAATGATGTTACAGCTTGACATTGTGTTGACGTTACCACTATAACATCCATTAAATGTTGGATTTTGGTTGCCATACCTGATGAATAAATGTCAGTATTTGACATCAATATATTAATCTAATATTAACTTCTTATGATATTGTGATGTAAAAACCATACAACACAGTACTTGGAAAATGTATAATCACTTATATTTAAACATTTTATTTTCCCAAAAGTTATTCCAAGCTTTCAAGGAGACGTCTGCATTTAATATGCGTTTTGCAGTATGACTTGGAAATTTTACTTGATGCAAGCATCATTGATTTTGAGACTTTAGCTTTTCCAATGTTTGGCTGTAAATTTGACAGCTTCTAAATAATCTTAGCCGGTATTTAATAACTAATTGAACTAATAAACTGACAAACATTCACTATCAAAATGTACTTTTTTAGTTTAGTACTTGTCAATTTAGTTGTTAAAGCAATGTGTGTCTCGTATTCTATCCAGTTTAACCATCTGAATGTTCGCTCAAACAGTCATAAAGATTGTTTATTAGGCGTTTATTCAATCATGATCAGACCAACAAACACATCATGCATTCCTTATTCAAAGATTTTCTTAAAAGAAAGCCAAAAGAAAAGCACCTTTATCTGCATACAGTTTTAAAATACTGTGATTATGAGTGTTTAAAGGGATAGATCAACAAAAAATACAGTCCTTTTCATGTATCTTAGTGCCATGTCATTCAAAATCCATATTACTAACTAAATATTTCAATTTTCCATGCAAGAAAGGTCATACAAACTGAAATTAGTATTCAATGACAGAATTTTAATTCTCAGTTGACCTACCCCTTTAATTGTTTACTCATGAAGTAATGAGTAAATTCTTGTTTTTCTCCCACACAAAATGCATTTTTCCCTATACATACTTTATATATATTTATACAATTACATAAAGATTACAATTACTTTGAATTAACTACTAAGAGCTTCTGCATATAGGAGTTGAGCCATTTTTGTCTCTCCATTGCTGTCAACAGCTTACTCTTCTCTCTAAACGCAGCGTCATCTGCCACCACTATGTTTCTCTTCTGCTGGTGACCCACCCGTGAAGGCCAGTCGCCCGTCCAGCCCTTCACCAGCTCCTCCTCCATCTGTGATTGGCTGAGCGGGAGCCAATCATCTGCCACCAGCTGCTCCCTCCCAGTCTTAGCTGCACCAAAATCAGGGGCGGTCAGCATCTGAATGCTCCAATCACGGAGCGAGATGGATGGATACACCACCTCCCACTGCTCACCTTTGGAGTCTTCTTGACCAATTGCAGGCAAGTTACTGTTTAGAGGTGAGAGAAGTGTTAGAAATGTCTCCAGTGAGGAATAAAGAAGTGAATGAAATGATAACTCTGAAAGGATAACTCTTTAATGGGGATACATGCAAGACTTTTTCTGTCGTGCGGACGAGCTGTAATGAAATTTTACTTCTTAGTGTCTGTGAAACGTGAAATAACTTGTGACACAAAATGAATGCTTATAAAGTTTAGAAAAAAATTATCATCACGGTGGCACAGTGGACACTCGCCTAACAGCAATGGTTCATTCCGCGGTGGCGACCCCAGATTAATAAAGGGACTAAGCCGAAAATATCTGAATGAATGAGTGAGTATTTAGTCTATAAAGCAAAAATGTACTTTATAATAATACCTCATATTGGTCATAATAGTGTGATTTTAATAAGCAAATATATTACATGATGTTGTTAAATAGAAGAAATATCCACAATGCTATGATCATATGCTTTCTTAAAGGAACACTCCACTTTTTTGAAGGGAATATGCTTATTTTTCAACTTGCCTAGACTCACAGTTGAGTTTTGCTCTTTTTGAATCCATTCAGTCGACCTCTGGTGGGAGCACTTTTAACTTAGCTTAGCTTAGCATAAATCAAGCATGTCATTCAAAAAAAAGTTTAGATAACTTTCCCTTTTTAAAGTTCTTCTCTTTTGTAGATAAATCTTGTACTAAGACTGACAGAAATTGAAAAGTTTCTAGATTTTCTAGGTCGAGGGACTACACTCTTGTAAGTTAAGCTAAACTAAAAATGCTTCTACCCACCCAAAGATCAGCTGAATGGGTTTAAAAATGGTAGAACTATATAACTCTGTGGGTTTTTTTTTTTTTACATCAGTGTTTTTTTCTTTTGTGTTTGTTTTGTTATTGAAGGAAAGCATGCAGCTATATATTCATGTAAACATTGCTCTCAACAGTTTATTAATGCAAAAGTATTTCCAAAATCTTTCAACTTCTGATCAAAGTATGAAAAACAATTAAATGTCATTATATCAAATTTGGTCTCTTGTACCTTGCTGCAGTTCTCTTAATTGCCACTGGTGTTGCTGATAAGAAGGGTTTCCGAATTTAACTGAAACTGTACTGAAGCGTTTCTGAATAGGTTTTTAAAACCATCTTTAAAACGATCTGCTTTTCTAATTCTCTTTTAAATAATTTCGACATTATTTTGCACTCACTGTCTGGCACCTAAAATCATTTAACTCTGTATTTTATAAAATGTTATAGCCAATGCTATCTTAAAATATGACCTCCTGAATAAGAATTTGAAAATATTGATTTATTTTGAGGTTACTAGCAAATTTGAATTCCTTGAAGCAAATTTGTTCTATTTGAAAAGAAAGACCTACATGTGAAAATTTAAGTCTCTAGCTCCAATGGAAAATGTACACTGTAAAATATTTGACCCTAAATTTACAGTAAATTACTAGCTAATAATTGCATTACTTTCACAGTAAGGTACTGAATGTAAATTCACAGGAAATTACTGTGAGGTACTTCATAATAACAATATTTATGTAAATATTTCTAAATATTAAAACGAAGTTCCTGTACTAGTATAAAAGTTAATGTGTATTAATTTATATGTTGAATAATTTATCAATAGTCTTTGAATTAATATGACTAACGTGCAAAATATATAGCCATTTCTACAGTAATTTGCTGTAATCATGATGCCAGCCTTAATTTTACAATGCAAATCTGTATATGTAAAATTTAACAAATGAATCATGTAAATTGACACCAATGTAATTTTCTGTAAAAAAATTACAGCAACATGTTGTGAAATTCTGGGCATTTATTACAGTGTAAGTAGTTACACAATTGCAATTAATGACAGATTCATAATGCATAAAAAGGAATGTTATTATATTAAGTGATCGATATGTCAAATAAAAGTGAGTAATAACTACAATACAAAGAACAACAAAAATATAATAATCATAATTGGAATAATAACACTTGACTGTATTATTATTATTATTATTATTATTATTATTATTATTATTATTATCATTATCATTAATATTATACCTTTGCAGAGGTCGAAGCTGAGGCTGGGGAAATGCCGATGCCATGAGAGTCACACTCATGAGGACTAAGAACAACAGGGCAGGACGAGGAGGCAAGGATAAAGCCATCTGCAGATGAATAAGTTGAATAATACATAGCATTAGCAACCGCTTGGTTGAGAGAGATACAGAATATACATGCGCAACATTCAAAATATAGATGCTAAATACAATTTACACAGATATGAGAAATATGAGCGAGCCTTCTGACTAGTGCTGTTCTGACTACAGGCCACTTTGAAATTAAAGTCGTATATCAGCCAATCAGGAGTATATTTCACATGTCTATATGAATTATTCACACTCTTTCACTCACTTACATTACACAGCAGAGCTTTAGAAAGAAGCATATTAAGGTACATAATAACAGTTGTGTTTATATATATCTAAAATACATGACAAGTTCAGCTGATTTATAATAAAATATAGTTTATTTTACAAAACTTAATGTGTAGTAATTATAAATAAATATTATAATATTCGAAGGATCTTGTACTTGTTTAAATGACTCATATTGTGAAAGATTAAAAAAAACTTCATAAATGCACAATTTTAATTAATATTTTTTTGTAAAAATAATTATTATCATTAAATGTATTGTTTAATATAATATCCCAATTATTTTGTATGCATTTGTGAGCTGATTTAATTTGTAACGTGGTATTTAAATATGTGTTACCTTAGCAGAGTAGTTCTTCCTCTTGACTGTGTGTTGCGTGGATGAAGCTCTTTGTTTCCAGTGTGTGGACTCAAAAATCCAATCACTCACGTTTTACTCCAAGCTAATTCGTAAATCGTCCATGCAATGAGATTAATGGTTGTCCAGAGTTTCTCTCTAACACTCTAGGATGGTATTTAATTGTCAAAAAGTTGCCTACGGTGCCTCTTTCTACGTATTGCTCCACCAACTTCTCAGGTTGTCAGGTGCCAGTGTGAATATATACAGGATTTGCTTGTGTGGGATTATATATACCTCTCTTTGTGTCGGAAGTTGTAGGGGGAAACAGAAAAGATAAAAAGACATGTGTCATTTTTCTTGTTGAAACAAGAACCTGAGAAGGCTACACCCCTGAATGTCCTGTTTGGAACGGAGCCTTAAAATAGAGGAAAGAATCAGAAGAGAAACGACAACAGTTTGGACGTCAGCACACCTAATGATGTCTCCAAAAAAAGGAAAATGACAAATCTGGAAAGTGCCACACGTTCACAAAATCATGATCAAAACTAGATGTTGCAGTGTTTCCATTCTATGGTGTATAATGCCCTTGATTTTACCAAGCGTGACCTGCCTTTTGCTGGGCGTAACCTATAGGATCATGATATACTAGATGAGGGTCGATAATGAGGATCGTGAAGCGAATTTGAAGTGACGTTTGTTTGCCGTCCTCAGGCTTCCTACGCACACGTTTGGATTCTAGGCCAAGCAAGACGTCACTCTCATTAAAATTGAAAGGTCCTGTCAAACACAACTGAATCCCCCACAAGACAATTTGTCGCATTTTACACAATCGCAAGGTAGGATTTTGCTCCAGAGACTCACTGACAACTGCTAAAACAGTTGTGTATATCAGAATTTGATATATTTTGTTTTTAAACAAACAAAAAATTGTGTTTTTATCATGTATCCCCATGTAAACTCTAATATGGCTGTGATAAAGACATCCGCTGAATTCATTTTCATTCAACAGAAGGAAGCTTGTTACCGAAGCAGACTTCAGCGAGGTCTCATTTAAAATAATGGGCATTGGTTGCGAGTCCAAGGTTGAGACGTGCAGGTCCTGACAGTCATTATGGAGAGCAGCAACAGCGACGTGGGCCGCTCGGGTCGGACATGAGTTCAGGGACAAGAATGAAAGAGTAGACGGAAAGAATCAGGGTGTGAGGTGGAAGAGGTCAGGGGATTCAGAAGATCTGAAGCACTCGCCACACTCTGGCCTCAACTTTGCCAGTAATCCGTAGATCTGCATGTTTGAACATCTACTGTTGACCGCAGCTGTGAGTCATGAGCGCTTTTTTTTACACATGCTAGCACTCTCTCTTCTCTCTTCTCTCCATCTCCGACTCTTTCATATCCTCAAATAAACCTTGGGGTTTGTGTGCTCTAAAATGCTAAAGGATCTCAAAGAGTGTCCTTTACATTATTTAATAACGATTAAGAATTTAAACATTCTATTAGACCGTTGCGTTGGTCAGTATAAAATATTGAATTGTTTTAGACATTGTGGAGTGGGTGGACTGAAGATAGATCTTTAGTTATTATTAAATAACTCTCACAATTAGCATTTCTTCTTAAAATACTGTATGCATTAAAAGCAAATCCAGAGACCTATTAATATCTTTGAATTATTTATCTAAAATAATAGGAACTCTTATTTTTATTTTAGACAACACAATAACAATGATGTTTTAACTTTACACTAGAACTAATGAGACATTTTTTAAATTTTGAACTGTATATATATATATATATATATATATATATATATATATATATATATATATATATATATATATATAAAACCCATGTAACTAACTAATAGTGTGATTGTTCATTTGTATATTTTATTCTAACATAGTTACTTTATTAAAGTTCATTCATTCGTTCATTTATTTATTTTCTTTTTGGCTTAGTCTCTTTATTAATCTGGGGTCACCACCACAGCAGAATTAACCACCAACTTATCCAGCATATGTTTTACGCAGCGGATGCCCTTCCAGCCGCAACCCATTACTGGGAAACTCATACAGGTTCATTCACACACATACATACACTATTGACAAGTTGGCCTGCCCAATTCACCTGTACCGCATGTCTTTGGGCTGTGGGGGAAACCAGAGCACACGGAGGAAACCCACGCAAACGCAGGGAGAACATGTAAACTCCACACAGAAACGCCAACTGACCCAGCCGAGGCTCAAAAAAGCGACCTTCTTGCTGTGAGGGGACAGCACTACCTACTGCGCCACTGCGTTGCCTTTATTAAAGTCATAAAACACAAAGGAGTTCTGAGTATGTTTTACTTTAAATGCCCATAACAATTAAATTGTAGAGTCACTTTTTCTGGCAATTTTCTGGAAAGGGATCATGTGTGAACAGGCCCTTTTTGAAAATACCGAAAATACTTTCCGGAAAGAGAAGTTGTAACATTACCGGCAATTTGCCAGAATGCTGTGCTGTGTGAGCACAGAATGTAAATTACCATGAAGATCACGTTCACGTCTAGAATGCGCTAACTTGAGATGTCTACACCAGCCAATCAGAACATTTAGATGCATTCACATCCGCGCTGTCTATGAAAACAAAAGCCGTTGAATATTTTTTATTATTTACAAGCGCAGCCACTTAGAGGTCATTTCTTGTTAATGATGTCCGAATTTACCAGTATTTTGGAATGGATGTGTGAATAGTCTTTTCCAGAAACTTGCAGACAAAGCGAGGTATGCCCAGTAACTCATACCAGGCTGATCTGACGAGAAAACGTAAGTATTTTACGTTTTGCCAGTTTTAGTGGCTAATTCGTACGAATTCGCACCAGTTCAGTCGTATGAAATTACGTGGCAACTAACCCCACCCCTAAACCCAACCGTCATTGGGGGATGAGCAAATTGTACTAAATTGTATGAATTAGATCGTACAAATTCATATGAATTAGCCACTAAATCAAAAAGTTACAAATTGCGTGAGATTGTGTTGCTCATACACAGTTATCACAAAAATAATTGTATTTTTTGGGTAATGAATGATTTATAAATATGTAATGACAGACATTATAAACTTTATTCTAAAATCTCATTAGAAGCTTTGAATGTAAATATGATGTGACAAAATCGTGAACAGTCAAACGGACCGCTATGGCCATTGGTAGTTAAAGAATCGTGGTTGATCCAGTGTTAAAAAGAGATAAGAAACAATTTATTAATAAATTAACCTCAGGAAATAACCTTGATTTTCAACCTCAATAAATAAATGCATTTGTGTTCTAACTAGCTGTCAGTTTCGAAGAAACAAAATGCTCTAAATGGCATGTTTTATTATTGTTTGAGATCAGGAAATTTTTTTTTATCAGACAATTACTTTAACAATTTACTTAAACCTTCATTCATTCATTCATTCATTCATTTTCCCATGGCTTAGTCCCTTATTTATCAGGGGTCACCACAGAGGAATGAACCACCAACTATTCCAGCATATGTTTTACGCTGTGTATACCCTTCCAGCTGCAACCCAGTACTGGTACACACCCATACAATCTCACATTCACACACACTATGGCCCATATAGTTCATCCAGTTCCCCCATTCTGAAGGACTGTAGGGGAAACCGGAGCACCCGGAGGAAACCCACACAAACATTGTGAGAACATGCTAACTCCACACAGAAATGCCAACTTGCCCAGCTGGGACTTGAACTAGTGACCTCTAATCATTTATACAATAAATATTTATCAGTTTTCGAGAAAAAAACTTAAATGTTCTACTGTAAGTAAAATAAATAAATCTCCTAAATTAATAATCATAAGATGTAAATTAACTACATTATTAGCATTACACTACACTAAATTAGCATTTATGTCCTGAATAGTCTATAAATGAGTAGACTGTACATCTGAGAGAGGAATGTGATGGATGGAGAATTAATAATGCTTCCTGCTTTTCTTGTTATCAAGGTTATGATAGCATTAGCATTCTTTGCATTAGCATTCAAGTGCCAACACAGGAAGAAGATTTTTGCTGGCAGATTATGATCTACAAGCAGGGCATAACAGCGACCATGTTAAACAGCCAAATCTTGATCTCCTGAGACAATAAAATTAACATCCTATAATATGTCTGAAACTAGGTCTAAAATATAATAGTTAAGTATGCAGTAAAAACATTATGATATTATGCAAATTAATTTCTTCATGAAGAGCCCATTACCTCTTAATGATCGGAATCCTCCTGGTGGAATGCTTGGTGTTCAATTTTGTGCTCTTTTTTCTATCACATATTTCAGTAATCGTCCTAAACTGTCATTCAGACATTTAAAACTCATCCCGTGGAGAAAAAAAAAAATGTTATTGACATTGTTTTACCATAGAAACATTTAGTGAGCTTCTTCCTCGAGTGGGTGGAGTCAAGTTCAAATCACATAATTTACTGCACTATTTTGCAATTGAAACATTATGTAATCTTGACAGAACATTCATTGGCTGGGTCAGTTGGCATTCATTTCTGTGTGTAGTTTGCATGTCCTCCCCGTGTTTGCGTGGGTTTCCTCTGGCTGCTCCGGTTTCCCCCACAAGCCCAAAATTGGGTAAGCTAAAATGTCCATAGTGTATGTTTGTAAAAGAGTGTGTATCTGGTTGTTTCCCAGTGATGGTTTGCAGCTAGAAGGGAATCCGCTGCGTGAAACATATGCTGGATAAGTTGGCGGTTTATTCCTCTGTGGCGACCTCAGATTAATAAAGGGACTAAGCCAAAAATGAATGAATGAATGAATTATACAGAATGTAGTAAGCAATTATAATGTGTAGGTTATTTTGAACAGATGAGTATTAAGTCTGGATTTAGACAGAGGAAGAGATTTAATGAAGCGGATGTCAGGAGGAGGAGAATTTCAGAGTTTGACTTAATGCTGTAAAAGTATTGTTCATTCTTGTTCAGCTTTTTAAAATTTTGAAGAATTTACTTTTGTAGAAAAGAACAGCCCGGGCGGTGGCGGAAGCAAAAACTCGGGCCTGGGAAGAGTTCGGGGAGACCATGGAGGAAGACTATCGGTCGGCCCCAAAGAGGTTCTGGCAAACTGTCTGGCGTCTCAGGAGGGGAAAGCATCTCCACATCGACACTGTTTACAGTGGAAGTGGGGAGCTGTTGACCTCAACTGGGGATGTTGTCGGGCGGTGGAAGGAATACTTTGAGGATCTCCTTAACCCCACCAACATGTCTTTCATCGAGGAAGA